GAGTGAGTGTGAGTGAGTGTGAGTGAGTGTGAGTGAGTGTGAGTGAGAGTGAGTGAGAGTGAGTGAGAGTGAGTGAGAGTGAGTGGGAGTGAGTGAGAGTGAGTGAGAGTGAGTGAGAGTGAGTGAGGGTGAGTGAGGGTGAGTGTGAGTGTGAGTGTGAGTGTGAGTGTGAGTGTGAGTGTAAGCGAGTGAGTGAGAGTGAGAGAGTGAAAGAGTGAGAGAGTGAAAGAGTGAGAGGGTGAGAGTGAGTGTGAGTTTGAGTGTGAGTGAGAGACAGTGAGAGTGAGTGAGTGTGAGTGTGAGTGTGAGTGTGAGTGAGAGTGAGAGAGTGAGTGAGAGTGAGTGTGAGTGTGTGTGTGCCTGTCACGAAATCAGAGCTCGTCAAAGTGCTGTACCTGCCACGAAATCTGCACTTCGAAGTAAAGCCGCTCCGATCCCTTGCACTCGTCACGAAAAATCAACTTTGGAGCACGAAAACACGAGGTTTTTTTTGCGCCTGCCACGAAAAGTGACCACCATGTCCGAAAATGCGCACGGCACCACAACGAGAGCGCAGTCGCTAGAAGCACCCGCCGCGCCCACGCAGATTCTGCGAGCCTGCACAGTCAAAATGCAATTCGCAGATTTCGAGAGGCATGAATGTACTGTAAATAGCAGCGAATTAGCCGGTCACGCCCGTGCGCCCCAGCGATCTAAGCACAGCTGCTTAACCACTACCGTAAGTTTGGGGGAAAATAACTTTTGGAAAACCCGTTTGCGTGTCTTCAAGTGTACAAGGCTTCAGCGAAAAAAAGAAGTGGTTGCAGTCTAAGATGCTCGTCGCTCTTGCTGGCATTTTCAGCCAAGTAAATACCTGGTCCGAACATGCTCCCGGCAGAACTTCCTGCCCTCTCCATCCGGAAGAAGTCTCTCGCAATGCACTGAGCTGACTCCGGGTTGGTGCCATGGAAAAGGTAGCTCTCATTCACATCCTTTGATGCCAACATGCGCCAACTGTCAGCTGCAAGGATGCTGGAAGGTAAGAATGGCAAACAAAATTAGGTAAATATAGGTAGGTAAAACCAGAGCCGACAAACATACGAGTAAGACCTTCAGACTTTGCTTCCAATGCTGCACCCTAAAGAACCTTCAAATGCCCGTGTTTTGGATATAAAGGCCTCCATGCTAGCGTGTCAAGGTTTATGTGAGCTTTGGCAACACGGCAACGGCTGAACAAAGCAGAGTAAAACAAAAACTGAAACACACCAACGGACCAACGCAAAGGCTTCGCAAACAGTACATCCTCCGTGCATGTTCAATCCACCTCCACAACCAAGGAGACGTATCCTACAAGTAGTGTTCAGCAAGCAGTTCAGCAAGCGAGTGTGACACCTTGGAGTCACGTGCATCTTCGGATTCTCTTAGATTTTGCAGGGGACATGTCAACACATAGATGGCACATGATGGCACGGGCCACCGAAGACCCATCGATGCCCTCGTGGAAAAACGCACCTGCGGTGATCACTCGTGGGTCTGTGAGTTACAGCTGGAGGATCTCAAGTTTGTCGTCCCTATGTCCCTATGTGTAACACGTGTATATATGTGTAACACGTGTATATAACTCAAACAAAAGAGTGTCAGTCTTTGCACCGCATCACTTCGGCACAATGTGCCGCGATTTCTTGGAGCTTGTGTCAGTGGAACTTTTAGAACTCAGGTCGGTTTAGAACCTCGGGAACTTCTTGATTTTGGGGGGTCTTGCTTGCACTATGTTTGCACATCGCTGCATTTTGCCTGGTCTCATCGGGAAGTTTTGTCCGGGCATGAGCATTCATGTCGTACGTGCACCAGTCTCTAGTGCTTCTCTCTTCGGAGATTGCGGGGTGAGCCCGAAGAGTCTAAGAGTGCCCCGCGTGGACCGCTCAGCCAGGGTCTACAGTATTTTGCCGGCAACAGGAGAATGATTTGGTGGTTCATGTGGGGCAAACGGTAGTGAAACTGGCATGATGTGTTGCGAACCATCTTCTTCCTCCTTTTTGTTCCTTTCTTTCGTTCTCTGACAGGCTTGTTAGGTGCTTAGGTTTCTACCCCAGGTTGGCGTGTGGCAAGTGGCATTCAGTTCCTATATGTTCGTATGTACCTTATCTCGACCCACGTCCGCATGCGCCCGCGCCCGAATGAGCGTGACACTAAAGCATACTAAGGCTCGTCGTCTAGCAGATTTATCCGATTGCTGGTCCGCAAAGGGAACGGGGTGCAGGGTCCGGACCGCTTGAGTCTCAAGGCATCCTTGTAGGTCAAGTAGCGGGCATACGATCTGTGGTTCTCCACACGCAAGACATTGGCCACACGGCAGCCAATGGGCACACGCCCCCCACCCAGAAGCTGCCGATCTCTAGTGAAGTGAGGAAGCCATGTGTCTGTCATCAGTTGCTGAACCTCGAAGCTTTCAGTGAGGGAAGATTTCATTGAGGGGATAGACTTCCAAGTAGAAGTGTAGAATTGGTACCGCAAAACAGAACGCCTTGGAAAACATCCAAACCTCGTCTCTTTTTTCACAAGCTCCCAGCCTCTGCAATCCTGTTGGGGTCAGGAAAAATGTGGATGCCAGCTTTGGTGGCCCAATAAAGAGGCAAGCATGGTGGATCGATGACGACCTCAAACACGTCGGTGTCCGCCCGGTGGTAGCCTGTGGATGCAGTTGATCCACGTCCGCTCGATGCTGTAGGGGCAGAAGTGGAGGAGTGGCCAGACCTGACTCCGGTCTTTGGCAAAATATCCAGACACGAGGAAGATAATGGAGCCGGGATATCCCCAACCGCTGCCGCCACTGCCGCGGCCATGGCTCTCCTCTTCAGCATTCGATGCCACAAGACACCGGCAGCGAAGAGAAGCAAAAGAACGGCAGCAGTGACACCCGCTGCAAAAGCAGCAATCGGAAGGTCCGAACGTTTACTGGAACCCGTAGCCTTAGGGATACAAAGACAGTCTGTACAGGTCATGTTACCGTCCATGCACACAAAGGGCAAAATACCAGTGTAGCCCGCAGGGCAATCCAACTGAACGGCCTGACCGTGTCCCACGTCACCGTGAGGAATAGTCAAGTCTGAAAGTATCACAACGCCTGATGTGCATCCTTTCTGGCATGAACCTTCAGTGAGAATGGTTGTGGCCTCGCAAGTAACATCGAGTGATCCAGAAAAGCCCTCTGGACAAGCCAGAACGATCTCCTCCTTGTCGTCCAGGTTGTCATGGAAGACACTCGCACCACCAGAATTGATGTATCCAGCTTGGCAGAAGGAAGAACGTTTGCAAGTGCTCTCTGTGACATTGATGTAGCCATCTTCGCAGGCCAAGTGAACACCTTGCCCTGCTGAACCCGTTGGACATACCACCTTCACTTTGCCACCTTCAATGATCTTCCCATGAGAAACCTCCACTCGCCCATCATCCACCCACAGGCTTCCTACAGCATCGCAAGTCGCGCGGCAGGAACTGTTGTGCTTCGGAATCACTTCGCCATCTTGACACTGCAAGAAGTATTGACCTGTCAATGAGTCAAGACAACAACGAACTGCTTCGCATTGGCACCTCCATTGGGACTCGCTTATTTAACCTTTTTTCCCTGCGGGACTCCACGTGGCGGGCTCCACGTTGGGGTCGATGGCCACCAAAAAAGACCATCAGGTGATCTCACCAACCATCATCCTTTTGTCGAAGTCATCCAACAACCCCAGGATACCCCAGGTGCTTAGACACCAAAACCAACCCAACGCTCGACTCCCGACTCCCCCGACTTCCAAGGGTCCCTCGAAGCCGCTGGGACAACTGCTGGGTTCCATGATGCCATGGTCCATGGCCGAGTGTTGAATCAGCGCATGGCCCAGCAGAAACTCTCCAGCAGAACACGACCTCGCTGCTCGGCACCTGGTTCCGTTGCGTTTTTTTTCTAGGATTATATAAGCAAGCCAGCGCACTGAACATGGCGGGCGAAAAACAAAAATCAGGGGAGGGCACCCGCACAGTGATGCAAACGGAAAGTGCAAGTCCTGTTTGCAAATGCAAAGTCTTGTTTCATGAGATCCGGGGTGAGATGCATTCGGATCCAGGTTTCTCATGAAACATTCGGAAGCCGAAGCAACGACCTGCCAACTGATCAAACACGTGGATGACAAGTTGCTGATCTTCGCGGAGCAAGACAGCACCATCTTGGCACTTCAACTGGACCGTGCCCACTAGCGAGCCTGGACAATCTGTTGGAAGCTCCTCACCATCATCCATGTCAGGATAGTCTAAAGCACGGCTGAACGGATCTTTCTCGTCCAGCCTGTATTCCACTGTGCCTGGTGCACAGCGCTTGCCACATTTCCCTCGGACTAAGGTGAGGTCATCATCATTGCACGCAAAAGTCACGGTGCCATTGTAGCCAGCAGGGCAAGGCATAGTGGTGGAACTGCCATGAAACACTTCTCCATGCTCCACGCTCACCTTACTTGTCACGAAAGGTCAGAATTCAAGAGACACTGAATCAGGTTCAATGCCTTGAACAAGACCTACAAAGACTAGCGAGGGCACCTCCAGGCTATACCTACTTCCAGCCTTCACCCTCTTGTTTCTCGCTGGTAGCTGCACGCAGCTGCAAGCAGCTGCAAGAACATGTATACATGCACCTGGTTCAAAGGTGCTGGAGACAGTGGCTGGAGCACCACTACAAAGCAATGTGATTGTCCATGTATATATATATATATGCAAGAAGTACACCACTTCTTCAGGTACACTCATCGAACATAGAT